GTGACCAGGAGTGTCTTCAGTTTTTATTATGTTAATAGTTGCTTTTAGAAAGTGCTTACCAGGATGAACTTCCAAAAATTAGTAGGTCTAATGTTGCATAATTTTACAGAACTGTGAAGACTTGCAACTAATTTGTACGATTGACTTCCTTTCATAAAGCAGCAATTTTTGCAGAATTAATCTGAAAAGTGGGACAGTTAACACAGCCACCATTGTTTTCATGTGAGATAGACTTACTGTCACTCCCAAGATAATGGCACTAATTTCAGGTGCCTCCTGTTACTAGCATTGTTATTTAAGAATTTTTTTCCTTTAAGGCAGCAACTCACTGTTTAAAAATATGGAGTTAGGGCAAATCTTACAGCTGTGTGTGTGTAAAAGTATTCTTATGTCTCTTCATAAAAAGATAGGAACTTCTTGTTAGAGGCCTTCCTTTGTCATTGCTTGTGGTTTGATTCTCATGTTTAAACTGTGGAAAACTTAGTGCAGGACAGCTTTTAGTTTTGTTATAACTAGAGTGGACAGACTGCTTGTTAAATAGAAAAAATAATTTTAAATCTAAATTCTTATTTCTGGAATTCTTAGTTTTCCAGCAAAATGGTAGTTTTTATAGAAGACCAGATGATGTGTGCAGGGTTCTTTCTGTTTGTTTTAATTTTGTGATAAGTTGAGTTTTCTTACAGGAAAAACTGGGCTTGCTTTATAAGCAGTTGTATAACAGGAACTGGATGGGGGGGGGGTGTGATACATATGAAAGGCTACAGATTGCTTCAGCATCAAAGCAGAATTAGAGGATTAGAACAAACTTCTCCATCCAACTTCTTGCAGAAGTATTAGACTGTGCAAGCATGGGTTTCTGAATTTGCATTCATCTTAAATGAGCTCTATTGAGTACATTCTGAAAACGTGCTAATGCAGTGATTGTCAGTTGTGTTTATACAATTTTTTCAGCACTCTGATAATTGGATAACAAATGCAGTCAAGGCATTTACAACTTCTAGATTTAGAATCATTCTGATTTACATTTTGCCTTAGCTTCTGAAATGTATCCCCTTTCATTTTGTCAGTGATGCTCAAATGCCAGTAACCCTGAGGTATAAATGATAATAGTCTAGCAAAAAAGGGAACTTGTCAGGATTTACAGGTCTGCCCAAGTGCAAGAACCTTATAATATTAAATTTACCACTGGGAAAGTATGAACAAATTGCTCTTCATTGATAAAACTCCTAGAAAATAACTTGGAAGAATAAATAATGCTAGAGAATGCTATGCTCAAGTGGGATTTTCAAAATTACCAGTTTCAGTGAACCTCACTGGGTTCACGGTAATTTTAGCTGAGTTCTTTATGTAATTGTGAAAATCTCATCTTTGGCAATGATGCTGGTTGAAATTAGAAATGAAAATCACTTTCTCGTTTGTTAGAGATGATGGAAGACTGTATAATCAGGAGTGATACGGAAAGGCTGAATGGCAATCAAGTGCTCCTTGCCTCTTCCAAAAGAAATGAGGAGGCAGTAATGAAACTAGTGGATTTTTTTTTTTTTTTTTTTTTTTTTTTTTTCCCCCCCACAAACATTTTTTTTTTTTTTTTTTTAGTTTTGCTCCCCCTACACACACACACGTCAACTTTTTGCTGCGGAGTGCTGTGGATGTTAAAAAATTTACATGAGTTAAAAGGGAGACAGGATAAGCTCATGGAAGAAAAAAAATTCAGTGTTGCTGAACACAAACACATCTGACCCAGAAAGTCCTGAGATACAACTGGTGAAGTGGGACAGCACTTGAAGGAGAGAAAGCCTTGTATGCCTCTCCTACTGTTGTCGTCTTCCCCAGGCATCCAGCCTTGGCCACTGTTGGAGGCAGGATTGTAGATTAGCTGAATGTTTGGGGTCTGATCCAGTACAGCCATTTGTATCTGCTACCTGATCTCGTGAGCTCTTTTTCAATCTTTGCATTTCTATGACTGAGGTTGCTTTCTTAAGAAATAAAAGTTTGGAGGTATTTTTATGGTAAGTGTGCAGTATCTGCACTCTGTAGATGAAGAACCCAGACTACAACGAACAAGTCTGTAAGTGTTGATCCTAAAACTGAACTCCTAACCCCCCACATAGGCATATGAGTAAAAATAATGTACTTGTAGGAAGTACTGGATGCAACACATTCAGATGCTCGGGAGCTCTGACAATATAAGCCCTTTTTATTTGAGATGCCTAGGCATGACTTACGAGTGTAACTCCTCATCTAGATTTAAATTTTGGCATAAGTTCTTACCAGAGAGACAGAAGAGTTGGTATCAAAGGCAGGAGCACAGGGAAGGAGTGCGGCTATTCAGGAATGGACCAGAGAAAGCATTGCTCCATCCACAGCTCTCCAGGATAATCTTGTTGCAGAACCAGAAAAGGCAGAGAAAACTTTGTCCAGTCCTGAGTAGCTGGTAGCTTGGCTTTATATCATCTTCTTGTGGGAGGTACAGGTTCACTCCCTCCCTTCTGAATGAGTCAGATCAGGAATTTCTCAAGTAATGGTCAGATTCTCTAAATTACAGATGTTGCTTTTTTGACTGTGGTCAGTGTCCATGTCATCCCCCCCTGACCATGGACAGCGTGAAGTATGTTTAATAATAAAAGATATAAACCTTCCTCAGTTTCGAGATACCAAGCTGTTAACTGGTCAGAAAGCTATTGTACTGTGTTGCACTATGCTATTGCAAAAAGCAGAAGCTACTGCCCTGGAGAGTAAGTGCAAGGCAGAAAGAGCTACACTTCGTGCTTCCACGGGTTCTTTGAGCTACTACACCAAGGAAAGTCTGGTTTTAAGGGGAGTACCCATACATGGGACTTTATCTGCTTGTTCTGCTTTTAAGTCAGTGGTTTTTTGTGGTTTTTTTTGTTGGGTCCCGTCCCCCCCACCGTTTCGTAATCTCAGAAAGAGCAGCTTCTCTTTATCAGGGTGAGGCTCCGGGGTGTTTGCTGCTGTAATGGAGAGGCACTGCTGAATAAATTGTCACTCAACCGAGTAACAGCTTTGCCAAGCTCAGGGAGAGTAGTAGCCTAGAAACATAGCCCAGCAGTGACATTAAGAGCTTTAGTCTCAAAGTCTTTGGAGGGAGTCTAATATTAAACAGGCTCTTTAGAGAGAGATGCATTGAGGCATTAGAGATGCGTATCTAGCTTTTGAACTTTGGATTTGCAGTGGCATATGGAAAATGTACAGAATTTCTACTCATGCTGGGGGTTTTGTGCATTTTTCTGAAGCCAGGTACAAATCAGAAGAGTTTAGGATTCCCAGCTAAGATAACTGCCTGTTTTCAAATATTATGCAGACATTCTTATCTATGCTATCTTTGTGGCTTACGCTTGTACTATTTGAATTTTCCTTTCATAGGTTGTGTGGATAAAGATTTAAAAAGCTGGTAAATTTAAAATTCAGTTGACATTAGTTTCTAGCAGTCTTTGAGTAACTTCATTTTCCAGTAGTAGCAGGCAATGTACAGTTGACTTACAACAATTAAGCAAAAGCTTTGCAAAGGGAAGTAGCCTTAACCAGATAACATATCATATTCTCTGACAGCTCAATATGCATTTTCTCCAACATTGATTTGCGCTTCTGTCTACCGCCAGGAGGTAAAAATGCCTCAGTGCTGTATCTGTCTGGCAACTGACTGCCCTAAATCTAAAGTGCAAATTCATTTTAACTCAGTTCTTATTCTTGACTCCATTGTTTTTGGGGAGGAAAAATCCAACACTTACTACTTACTTTTATCATTTAAATATTTATTTATTTTTACAGCGATGTTAAATGAAGTTTGCAGAAAATGTACATAATGTTTTAATAGCTGGGAAACATACATAGCAGGATGTTTTAAGGCGCTCTCATCTATATGTTCCTGTTTGTAACAGTAACATACGTAATTTCTCCTCTTACATGGCTTTGACTTTTCAAAGTGTCTCGATTAATTTTGCCAGCACATAGCCCCAAGGAATTTATTTTTATACTTTCTAAAGTTTGTAAGAAAATAGCATTTGAAATTTTAAATGCATATGTTAAAACTGTTTCTAGGACACAAAGTTGAGAGGAAGTTTCATTCTAAAAATTACTGTGTCTTGAATTTCTTTACGGGACTAGTTTCCTATAAGAAATATTTGGGTTGGTGCACATGCTCATTTCTTAGCAAAGGTCATGTTTTTCTAAGAAACTACTAGTTTGAAATTGAATTACCTTATTTGGAGGATGTTATTTTGCTCAAAAGTCGTGTTGAGTTGAAGAACTTCTCACAAAAGAGTTTATTAAAGTGGTACTGTACCTAAAGCACTAACTACAGTCATCAGAGGTTATTTTAATTACACAGACATCTGAGACAGAGGTGAGAAGAAAAACCAGTTTGTCTGAGTTGTTTCCAGATGCCCTGAACTACCAGAAGATTTAATTGCTTTATGGGGGCCAAGCTTGTGGAGAGAGCGTATATTTTATCAGATAAACCTGGGAGAAACGAAGTTCTTGTAGCCCCCTGATTGGAGCCCCCTATGAATGTAATGGGCCCTAAGAAGGAAGGTGCAGGGAGAAAGACAGGAGGGAGGTGTAGGACAGAGGAGAGGAAACTCCAGAGCAGGCACAGGTAGCTGAAGTGATATGATCCATATGGTTCTGTTTTCCTCAGCAACTGGATCCTGCAGCATACACCAGGTAGTTTGCCCCCATCCTCAGTAACTTAGAAACTTCTGTCATTGTAAAAAATGAGCAATTGTTCTAACTTCAGAAAGAAACCCACCTACTTTTTCATTTGTTTTTGACTTGACAGTCAGTCTTTGGACTTTGGTCAACCTAATCCAAAACCGAAAGTTTGTTCCTGACATACAACCTGTCATAACAGACACTTGACATAAATTCTTAAAATACTTTTTCTGTGTCCTATTATGCTTAACACTTTTACAGTCTTATCATAAACTTTTCTGATGTGAAGGAAGTGTAACATTTACATCTCAGAATATATTTCCACAGCGGAAGAAATGTGCAAGCTTCTAATTCCAGTTTAGTCCCAGTAGTCTTTTAATACAGTTTATATTGTAGAGTCACTGTCAAATATTTTCATTTTTATGGTCTGAAGGCTGTGTTGAATGAAGTTTTCTGAAACTGGACTTTCAGAGAATCTGATGTCCCGTGGTCTAGTGGACCGGTTCTTTTTTATTGAATTTTGAATTGTATCCGATGTAAAGTAATAGACTATAGGGTCAAAACAGCAGTTTGAAACAGCGATGCACAGAGTGATGGGGTACATAGTCCTGACCGCAGTTACCAGTGAACAATTAATCCACGTCTGTGTTCTCATAAGGGAGTAAAGTATTAAGGTAATGTTATAAGGCACAAAGCAAAAGCAGAATATCACCAAATGGACAAAAATCATTTTGAGTACCTTTTTCTTGCTTAACTTATTCCGACTTAATGTAAGCGGTTTATTCAAAGTCCATAAGACCACAGAAGAGCAGGTCACGTTCAGGATGAGTGGAATAAAGAACCCAACTATTTCAATGAAGATAACAATCCGGGATAGGTAGGTTTTCCATATGTCCTCTGAAAAGTTTTCAAAACATGTTCTTTGTTCGGTATTATTACGGCTGTTTGTAGACTGGAAAAAGCTTGCTGGTGTGCTGCCTGCTAACACGGTTATCCATACTGCAGCGCAGACAATTTTTGCATTCCTTTTGGTTCGGAGAGTCTTAGATCGAAAAGGGTGTACTATAGCTAGAAAGCGATCTACGCTTATGCAAGTCAGAAATAAAATGCTCCCATACATATTTGTATAAAAGAGGGTGACAGAAATCTTGCAAAGTATGTCTCCAAATGGCCAGTTTCTTGCTACAAAGTAATAAATCCTGAAAGGTAGTGTAAACACAAAAAGCAGATCCGATATTGCTAAATTAAGCATGTAAGTTGTAGTCTCGTTTTGCACTTTTAATGTGCAAGTAAAAATGTAGATAGCGACACAGTTTGCTATGAGGCCAAGAACAAACACCATGCTAAACATACAGCCATATAAAGTATATTTAAAGGAGTCCTCAGTGGAACAATTAGAGCTTACCATTATAATGGTATATTTAAAATTCCTGTGATTTGGAGGTTGCTCTGCTATTTTTATTGCAACTTTTTTTAAATTCCAGAAGAACTTGCAGATGTATTTGAACTGTGTGCTTTGGTAAGTTTGTTGCACTGTAAAGCTTCAGGGAAGAAACACGAGCTCTGTAGCAGGGGAGTACATCACCAGGAGGTCACTTTTCTCTTCCAAGTGCTATTTGTAATCACATAGCCAGTCTTCACAAGTCAAAAAACATGTCATTTGTGGCAGATGAGGTCATCCCCAGGCTTGCTTAGTTCCATTTTCCCCCCTCGATTCGATGAAGCCGTTGTAGAACTTTCTGCCTTATTCTTGGCTGCAGATCATGGTGGTGAAGTCTTGTCCATCCAAATTTACTGGGAACGTATGCTTTAGAAAACGATTTCCTGGACGCCGCGAAGTGCCGGCACTTGCATTTCTCCCTCAGCCTTCTTTCCGTAAAACGAGCTTTTCGGCTCCTCCGAGCGCTTGCTGCCTGGCTCGCCCCATGGGGTGGGAAGCAAGCTGCTTGCGAGGGCAGAACCAAAATTCCAGAGCGTGTTTGGTCCTGCAGAGCACGGCCCTCGCGTCCTGCGCCCCGGCAGCCTCTCGCCAGCCCGGCTCCTTCTGGAGAGCGGAGCAAAGAGCTCGGGCAATTTGTAGCATGACATCACAGGAAGAAGAGGTTGGACTCGCTGAAGAATGGTTTCAGTTCAGTTTGTTTGCCTTCCCCTAATCTGATAATGTGTCTGCTGGGACTGTACCTTGCAGGCGTGCAAATGGTCACCAGCAGAGTGCTGCTGCTGCAGCTGCAGCCTCCTGTTAACTCTTTCCGTACTCCCTGAAAGGTCCTTTGTCAACGTTGCTGGAGTCCGAAAGCTTCATCGCAAAATCTTTATCTTCAGTTATGAGGAGACTTTTCAGTGTCTGAATAACTCTCGTGCCATAAAATTCCTGTTTTTCTTTGGAGAGAGTAGTAATTGCGGGATTTTACATTTTATGTAGGATTGAACTAACGCTACGTTTTTTGACATCTATCACAAGCAAAGATATCTAACATGTTAATCACCAGGAATCAGCTGAGTAGTTCTGTCTTGATTCCCTCAATTCACCAGTATAAACCACAGGAGGGACAAAGTAACATTGATAGGTAATTAAATAATTTCACCAAATAATTAATGAAAGAGAGAGACATAAAGATTATGAGCCTGTGGGTTGCTCTTGGATATTTCCAGGACTGAGATGTGTTGCAGTGGGAGGAGAAATTTTTAACTCACTCGGTATTAAAAAGCATATCCCAAGCTCTATTTCTAATCAGAAAGATGGTTCTTTTCACAAAAAAACATGCTTCCATTTTTTTAAAATTTTGTGGTACAGAAAGCATTTTCTTCAATATGTAAGCACAGAATTAATACACCAAAATAAATACTGCGCTATGCAATTGTTTCTGATAATTTAAAGGGGGGCAGTTATCACACATGCACAAAATTACTTCCATTAGTCACTGATTAATGAAACGAAAACATGTTGCAACTAATTAAATTGTTAAGTAAATATATAAAAAAAGCAGCTCTTAATTGCCTTTAGGGGCAGATATGAGATAAATCTCAGTTTAGACAGACTCATTTGTTTAACAACAGCTTGGATAGACTCACTTCTGGCATCAAAACCAGTCTATTTCTGAGCCTTAGAATAACAAATCTCTTCATATCTGACTGGGTGGCGTGGTTCTTTTGAACTAGATTTTCATCAGTTGTATCTAAGCAAGGCTCTGGGCAAAATCTTTCTAGTCTGCTGTAAAGGAGAGTAAAGAATAGAACTTCACAGGGTTTTGGCATAGTTTCTTAATGTAAGGTATGTCAGACAAAATTCAGAAACATGCAAAAATGAGTCTTGCTTATTTTATTTCCAGTTTTCTTGGTAAATTTCTTCTGTGAAACTTTCACCTTGATTTTGAGGTGAAATCAAGCAGTTTCACTTCAGTAAGCTATAACCACAAGAAACCTTTTTGACTGTCTTTGAAATTCATACTTAACTGTAAAGCGTAGTGCATTTTCTGCTTCTAAGTCAGCAAGAAATGAAAATGTGAGCTTGGCAGAATCTCTTGTGTGTCCAACTTAACTTGCGCCTTAGCATAAAGTTGCCTTACTTGGCTTTCCTCACAAAAGCAGTCGTCACATGTGGTTAACTTTTGTTTCTATTCCCAGCAGCCTTGCATGGTGAAAGGGGAGTTTTCGTGCAAGAGTCCATGAGTTCTGCATCAGGCCTTGGGAGCTCTGAGCTCAGTCTTCCTGCTCCGGCTTTGTTTGCACAGGAAAACTCTGTGGGGCAGGCTCAGTTACTGGAACGAAAATCCCTGAAGTACAGAAATTTGACGTCACATGTCAAAACCTCAAGCAATATTTCATGTTTAGAGAGATAAATGAATAGAAATGAGTAGGTGTCTTATTCATCAGTACCTCATTTTCTGTTCGGGCAAAGGTGTGGGTGCACAGAGACAGGGTGGGGATGTCTGACCAGGGGCACTGTCCATTTTACCATGGTGAATGTGTTTCAGAGCAATCGTGAAGGTGTATCCTCAGCCTTCAGTTCATCGGTCACAGCCCCTGCCTTGCTGCGGCCTGTGTTACTGCTCTTGTTACGAACGTGGGCACTACTCAGAGCTGTATTTTAGGGGCTTGGGGATATATGCTTCTGCTGTCTTTGGGACTTTCTCTTGCCCCTGCACCTTTTTGGTGCAGAACAGTGCATGCACCTTACACTAATTGAAGAACTAAGTGATATTTGTACGCTTCCAGAAATAGCATACAGCTGCAGGTTTCTCCACCTGCAGAAAAATATTTGAAACCCCCAAGTTGGCAGGTTTTTACTTCGTATCATGTTTCAGTGAGGAGGTATATGACTGAGTGGGCAGTCTGAGTCATTTTCGTGTAAAAGTGTGAATGGTGAAGGTGAATTGTATACCCGTTTTCTTAATTTAAGCATGGCTGATTGTTATCAAGCAGTGTTTTGATTTGTGTGAGCTTCTCTGAGCTGAAGAACCTGCGTTAGTGCACCACGAGCTGCAGGAGTCGAGAGCAGCCTCCCTTCTGGCCGGGCTCCAGTGCGAGCAGAGAGGAAACTTCTTTGCACGCTTTCCTTTCATTGGAGCACGTTTCGAGATGTTGGGCTCTGTGTCATCAGATTTGGGAAAGTCCTAACGCTTTAAAAAATAAAAAAAAAAAAAGTTTATCAGTTATTACGGAGGAATAACTGATTATTTTGAATTATTATGAATATTACGGAGGAAGAATTGACATGGTAATGACCTTGTTATGCTCCTTCACCACAGGCAAATTTTCCTTTGGGATGGGGAGGGGGCATAGGCAGGAGGAAGCAGCTGCAGGGAGGTCCCTGTATACTGAGGGGTTTTTTTCTCCAAAGGAAACGATGCTGCTACTGCGGGGAGATGCATAGTCTGTCTGCCTTTCTGCATCAGAGATGGAAATGAGTTAGGACCTGTCATTTGTTGCTAGTGCTAGATGAGCAAAGACTGCATTTCCATCAACAGGCTTCTTGTGGCTCTTGAAGAGGCATCGAAGGCAGTGTGAACATGGGCTCCTTAAAGCTAAGAGTTGATGAGATGCTTGAGATCATCTCTCACTTCAGCAGTGAACAGGTTTCATATGCTCCCTCATTCGGCTACCATTAACTCTGTTTATATGAGTTTAGCTATCTAGGACTGTTTACATCCCTGAGCGATCTTGGGGTTTTGTGGCAAACCTATTTCAGTGGTGAACAGGGGGTCGGAAGGAAACGTCCTTACAACCCTAGTGGTGTGCTAGTAGAGCAGCTGTAGGACACTGCCACCAACAGCTGCTGCTTCCTCCTACGCCTAGGTGCCATAGAGTTGGATACTTGCTCTCATTTAGGACACAGGGGCAGGATCCCTTAAATTCAGAAGTCCAAGTTGAGTGGTAAAGAAATACAAGTACTAGAAGGCTTTCCAAGCCTTTGGAGTTGTTTTGGCCAGTGTTGTGTATTCCTCTGGTGCTGCCCTACTGTTCAGCACTGGAATCAAACGGAAGTTGTAGTCAAAGGTGAAATGAATTTTGAACTTGTCTTGTGTACTTGATATAGTCTGGCGTTGATATTACTACTAAAAGCTCTTACTTACTTGAAAGGAAAAATTCAACATCAATAACATTGTAATAAATTCTTACAGTGCTTCTAAAGCCACAGTATGTACTGTTAAATGAAGGTTGTCAGATGCACAAAACACTATATGTAATTCCATTATTCTGTAACTAATGTTACTGCTGTTAGAGGCACGACTGCGTCATGGGTACAGGCATTTGTTCTCACTTTGGTTACACAAAGGAACTTGTGCTATCTGTTGCAGTGAAGACAAACCCTGGCAGGACAGTGTTTTCTTTACCCTAAGTGTTGTTATTTATCCAATCATTTTCATGGGTTTTAGCATTTTTAGTCTATTTACTGGAGTTTCTCTTTGAGCGTGTGTATGTACAGGAAGGAATTTATTATGGTTGAGACATAGGGCTGGGAGCCAGGAAGTCTGTTTCTGGCTGTGCCATGTATTTGCTGTTCCAATCCTGGCAAAGTTTTCTGTGACTTTGTGCTCTAGCTTCCCTCTGTGTAAGAGCTCGTTCACTTCCTCACTGGGATGCAAGGCCATCTTAATTGTTAAATATAGTTTGAAGTTCTTGGATAGAGAACACTTTATTAAATATGATAGTGAGATAATTACAGTGGCTAGCGAATGCGATAAAAATGTAGGAAGATTCAAATTTTGTATTTTTAGATTAGATTTCCTGCCAAGCAAAAGGATCTATTAAGAAACTTCACTCGGCTCAACTCCATAAGTCTATGGGGAAGTAGGTACAGAGAAAGCAGGGCTGGGAACTTCAACCTTCTCCTTTCAGGAGCCGCCTGCTCACACGCTCGTAAGTCACTGTAAGACAGCTTCTGGTAAGTGGCTTACTGCCTTCTTA